TTCTTAACCTCCAAGCCCAGTGTTACTTCCTGGAAGTAAGAACACAATGTAGTAAAGAAGATTTCCCCAGTAGAGATGAATCAGGTTTGCTTCAGCCTATTAGAATAAGGAACTGTCTAACATTTGTGGCATTCAACAAAGGGGGCTGCATTAGTCAGACTTTTCTAGAATATGTTGTGACAGCAAGTACCCGAAAATCCTGTCAGCCCTACAATAGGTTTTCTCTAGTCCAAGTTACTGGCCATGTGAGAGTCAGCTGTATCTTTATTCCAGGAACAAGGGTAAAGGGAAAGCCCCTATCTGCAACATGCACGTCTAACAGCGGTGGAACAGAAAGACGGGAGAATGAAAACATTTTCTCTGTAGTGGTCCATGTCTCTTCCTTTCATACGTCTTTGGCCAGTGCAGGACCAAGTGCAGGGCCAGGTTAAACCAGGCCTTACAGGTTGACCTGTATCCCTCAAAAAACATATATCAAAATCCTAATGCCCAGTACTTCAGAATATGACCTTATTTAAAAGTAGGACCATTGCAAATATAATTAATTAAGATAAGGTCATAGTGGAATAGGGTGGGCCCTTAATCCATTGTGTCTGATGTCCTTATAAGAAGAGAAGAGACACAGACACAGAGGGAAGGCCATATAAAGACAGAGGCAGAGATTAGAGTCATGTTTCCACAAGCCAAGGAACGCCTGGGCCTACGAGAAACTGGGAGAGGCAAGGGAGGACCCTCCCTTAGAGGCTTCAAATGAACCATGGCCCTTGATTTCAGACTTCTACTCTCTAAAACTGTGACTATGAGAGAATACATTTCTGTTGTTTTAAGTTACCCAGTTTGTGGTTCTTTATTATGGCAACCCTAGGAAACAAATACACCAGGCATCATAAGGGGACAGGGGCCAGGAAAGGGCAAAAGGGAGGGACCCAGTAAGAAGGGCCAGCAAATATTTAGATACAAATGCAACCTACCATGGGAGTCGAGTGCAGTCTTTAGCAGAGACCACCCATGACCACCCATGGTTGTCTGCCAAGACAGGGGTCCTGCATCAGACAGGAACGGTGGTTCTTAACCATTGCTGGGCATTAGAATCCCCTGGGAAGCTTTGAAAATGCCCATATTTTAGATTTACCTTAAAAAATCTCCCACCTTCTGAGGTACTTGTTCATTAGATTTGGAGCAGATTCTGGGAAGGTTAAGTTTTGAAAATAAGCTCCCTGGGTTCCAAGAATCTGATGCGTATCTCTGATTAAGAGCCACAGAGTAGAAGGCCAACTTCTCCTCCAAAGTTCCTCACAATGCCCGGCTTCTAATGGTGGCTCTGGCTCAGCAGGGGGTCAAGTGACTTCTTGGTGAGCTTGTTCTTTTGGTTTGCTTTAAATGCATTGAAGATCTCATTGAAACGGCAAAGGCATAGATTTCTTTTTCAAACATTTAAAGTCCCAAGCTCTAGTCAGGGTTTCTAGAATCACAGAACATTTGCTTTGATCCCAGGAGCTGGAAGGTGAGTGAAAGGACAGTACCACAATTTTTTTTTTTTTTTTGACTCTTCCAGGTAGAGCATGAAGGAAGGATGATCTATACAGCTCTTGTTTTGCTATAGGAAAACTACTTTTGATGATAATTGTTGCTCTCAAAATATGTTTGTTATAGATTGCATGTTTATCCCCACAAAGTTTGTATGTTGAAACTCTAAATCTCAGTGGGAAGGTATTAGGAGGTGGGCCCTTGGGAGAGAAGTAGCTTTAGATGAGGCCATGAGGGTGGAGCCCCCTTAATGGGATTTAGTGACTTTATTTGGACACAGATAACTTCCTTTTTTAAGGGGGAAATTTGCATATGAAGGGGAGTCACTAGAAGCATCCGAATGCCACTGAAGATATAATTCGGAACTATGATTTGAATAAACAGTTGGAAATAACTTGCCAAGTTAGCCTTTCTCCTGTGAAGTGAATGAGAACAAGTCCTTTCCCAGCAAGGAAATCCTACATCACTTGCCTTAAACAGATTCTCTGTACTCCCACACTTTGAGAAAGAGCTCTCACTACCTTTCTGGGCTAGGCTGTGCATCTGAGATTATCAGCCAGATCTGGTGTCATAGTCACTGAGGCCACCATCAGAACATTCAGCCAATTGGCAATGAAAGACAGCAGTGCGATTTCCTAACCTCATCCACTGTTCTGTAATTCCTCACTTCTAATTCCTTGATTATCTCCCGGAACTTTTCACTGTGTTCCACTTACTACATTCTCCCTTTCTCCCCTTCGCCCTGGGAGTCACAGCGGGCGATTTACCAACTCTCCATAAAGCCAGAAGAGGAATGTTAATATTCAGTTCATGTTGCACTATTCTCTAAACCTTTCATCTTTCACTCTATGATAAAAGATTTTCCTTTGAGGCTTTTGCCCTATTTAGTATTGTTAACCTTTCTCAACCCAGTCATGTATTACTAACCATTCAGTCATTTCCCTTCACTCTCCTAAGACTGGCATTAGACTCTTAGTTATCCTCTCCTCTTTCACTCTTGTTGATATCTGGGGTTGAAATCTTCATCTGTCCAACAACCTAGCTTCACAATTCTTCATCTCAACTTCTGCTGTCCATCAATTGATAACTGTCACCCCAATCATACAAATATTAAAAGAGAGGCAAGAAAGTAGCATCTAAAAGAAATAAGGATAAAACTTATATTTTTAATGGAAAAAATTAAGCAATAGAAGCAACTTTTCTCTTTCTTTGGAGGGAAAGGGATGGGTGCAGATAAAGACAGACTTATGAGTTTAGAAGGTGGAAAATAAAGAAGTATTGACAAATAATTTTTAACTTCTTTGCAAAATAAAAGACAAGATCATCTTCTGAGAGTGGGAGAAAAAATAGGGGAATTGAAGGTTTGTGGGGAGTAGCAGTGGTTTAAAATACTGTAGTCAAAGAGCATGAGCGAAGAAATTATCAGAGAACTATTGTACAACTGCCAGCAGGGTGGGGGCCTGTTTTGATGGGGTGGTACCAATCTTCTCTATTAAGTGACTTCCTCTAGCAGGTGCAGAGAAAATAAATACTTGGCTTCATGGAGGTCAGGTTTTTCTTGGAGAGTTATGAAGTGTTTTCTTTCTTTCTTTTTTAAAAATTATGTATCCCCCATGACTAGCACATAGTAGATAGGCAACAAATATAATCATCATTGGTATCATGCAGGATCAGTGACAAGACCCCCCATAGATATCAAAATTCATGGATGCTCAAGACCCTTATATAAAATGGTATAGTATTGGCATGTCATTTACACACATCCTCCCATATACTTCAAATCATCTCTAGATTGCTTATGATACCTAATATAATGTAAATGCTATGTAAATAGTTGATATACTTTAAAACATCTCTGGATTACTTATAATACCTAATATAATGTAAATGCTATGTAAATAGTTGTTATACTGTATTGTTTAGAGAATAATGACAAGAAAAAAGTCTTTACATGTCCAGTACAGATGGAAGTGTTCACTTTTCTTTGAATATTTTTGATCAGTGATTGAAACCATAGATACAGAACCCACAGGTATGGAGTGCTGACTATATTTGAATATTTTTTTCCGCTGTACAAGACAGTCTCTTTGAAACAGTGTTGTTGCATGAAGGACCATGATATCTAAGCTGACTAAGGAGGAAAATAAAGAAAGATGATTGATATATTGGAAAAAATATATGATTCAATATAGAGGACCCTGTGAGTTTGAAAAGGAAGAAAGAGAGAGAGAGAGAGAGAACCAGAGACAGACAGCCCCAGAGATGGACAGAGACTTAAAGAAGTTGTCTCACGTAATTGTGAGTCCGAAATCTGCAGGGCAGGCTTACAGGCTGGAAATTCAGGTAAGAGTTGATGTAGTAGCCTTGAGTTAAAAGACTGGAAACTTAAGCAGAATTTCTATGTTACAGTCTGGAGGCTTAATTCCTTCTTCTTTGGGGGACCTCAGTCTTTGCCGTTAAAGCCTTCAACTGATTGGATGAGGCCCACCCACATTATGGTGGGTAATCTACTTTACTCAAAGTCTACTGATTTAAATTTTAATCACATCTGAAAAATACTTTCACAGCAATATCTACGCTGGTGTTTGACCAAACAACTGGGCACCAAAACTTAGTCAAGTTGACACATAAATTTAGTTATCACAGGTAGCAGTGAAAGGAGACAAGATTGTGGTTAGAAAGTTGATGATTAAACTGGTGAATCTGGAGGCAGAGCAGTATGACAGAGTCCATGGAACAATGAATGTGGATAACTAGGGTGGCAAGAAGATCACTGGTGATGTGTGAAGGTAGAGCATAATGAGTCCAGCATAATGACTGGATTCATCCACTTGGACAATGAAATCTAGGATGTTGTCAGGTGAGACAGAGAGAAAGAATGTAAGCCATGAGATGGAGTTTTCACTGAATGATAGGTAATGATCAGAGGGAAGAAAGATGACCAAGAAAGTGAGACAGGGTATTGTAGTCAAATGGCATGAACCCCGGTAGAGAGGTCTCCAACCCTCTGCTCTACCATTGGGTGACCTTAAATAAATCACTAATCTCTGTGTGTCTATGCTTCTTCAAATTCTGACTCTAGTTTAATATCCAAAGGCTGTTGTGGGAGTCAAGTATAGTGGTAAATGGTAGTAAATGGTAGGTAAAAGTAGTTTGGAAAAGGCAGCCAAACCAGTCAGAAAGAAGTTGGGGTTTCTTGATACTTATAGTATTAAGCACTAGAGTGTGTCTCCAATCAAATTTAAGGAATTTCTGGTTGTGATTTAAAGGAGTTGTGGCCAACCTCCAACAGGACCCCCAAATGATCCTCATTCTCCTGGTACTCTCGCCCTTGCATAGGGCCTTCCTGCATTTAACAGGGCTGACTTGTGTAACAAATAGAATGTAACAGAAGTGATGGTGTGTGACTTACAAGACCAGGTCATAAAAAGCATTGTGGTTTCCTCCTTGCTCTTGGATCACTTACTCTGGTGGCAACCAGTCACCATGACATGAGGACACTCAAGCAGTTCTATGGAGGGACCTAGGCACAAAGAACTGAGGCTTCCTGATAACAGCCATGTAAGTGAACCATTTTGGAAGTAAATCTTCTAGTTCTGGTTAAGTTTTCCGATGGCTGCAGGCCCATTCAATATCTTTACTGCAAGAGGAGAAACCCTGAGCCAGGGACACTCACATAAGCTATTCCCGAATTCCTGACCAATAGAAATTGTAAGTGAAAAATGATTATTGTTTTAACCTACTATGCTTTGAGGTAATTTGTTATGTGACAATAAATAAATTATGTAAGAGATATTTGTTTCCACTGAATCTTAAACCTCTTTATTCATGCTTCCTACCTGTGTGTAGACATGTAATTAGATGTTTTTAAATGTATACTGACAGAAGTAGGGAGGCATCTTTTTGTTGTGAGGCATTGGGTGAATATCTTTTACTCCTTAGACTTTGGCTTACTCAGGTGTAAAATGAATGGTTGCCCTGATACTCTGAAGGTCCTCTCTAGTTACAAACTCTGTGGGCAACCTCTTGAATGAGATGGTTGCTCACAAAACGCACATAATCTCACTATGATGCTAAATTAAAGTTCAACAGACCAATTTCATTGACTGAATTTTCATAAAATGATTTTTTCAGAGAGAAGGCAGACTAAAGCAAGTCAAAAAAGAACTGGAGAGAATGTAGGGAATTCACTAATTCTAAATTTAATCTTCATAAAGAAGTGTCTCATGACATATCCCAAAATTGTGTTGCGTATAGTTCTGCCATAGCGATATACTTGATAATATTTTTATGTTTCTGTTCCTTCTAGACTTGTTTCACTTTATAAATAATATTACATTTTACTAAATTAAATTTTTAGAGTTGCTTCTGTAACTATATCTCTCCAATAACTAAAAGATTTGAAAATTGGAAAGAGTGTATAACAGAATAGGTTATCTAGTATTTTAGATACTTAGAATATTCACACAGCTATGATTAAATCCATCAAGTTCCCCCATTCGCTCATTTTAAAAAGGAGATTCAGCCATATTAAGTCAATTAAATTGGTTTGATGTTTATTTTATCCTCTGACCTAGATTCCTGTACTCTCCCATTGGCTTTAACTTTCTGTGGGACACTCTTGTACTGGAACTGATTTTTAGAGTATCTTTAGTGTGGCTAGTTGGTATTCCCAAGAAAGTAACAGACTCACAATATTCTGTTTTACATTTTCCTAGTTATGGTGAGGTTGTTCTTTTCCCAATCCCTCTTTATTTCTCCTCTTGACATAAAACATTTACACACGTCACTAATCTCTTCTACACAATTTATTACAAACTAAGGGGAATGGGGCCTCTGTCTCATTTATTTTTAGGATGGTGTAAGCATTTGCTCTTGTTAAATATTGCTATTAACTGACTATATTGGACACTTCTTAAACACCTCCAGGCCTTTAGCTACGTGCTCTGCCTCAGCAGCTATTTCTGCCTACCAACCCCACTCAGAACCCACATTTCTCACCGTCTGAGGCCAACAAGTTGCTTGCCTGTGAATGCTGGCCCCTCTCACTTGGCAGCTGCTGTATGACCAGGCTAACCATGTCTGGTCTCTGTCTTCTCTCATCACTTATAGACTTTAATGAAATGTCACACTACAGACATGGACAAGGAAGCCAGATTTTATAACCAGGAAGTCAAGTGTGGGGGTACAGTAGGGGTATGTGTGTGGTGGGGGTTATCTATCTAAAGGATGAAACTTGGCCCGTTGAAAACAGGTATTGTCAGGGATCCACTGATAAATTTCTTCTCCTTTCTCCCTTTCATAGATTGGGCAGGGCACAACTTCTGGAGCTGCCCTGCATGGCTGTGCAGAGGTCCCTGAAAGGTCACCTGCTGTGTGTCTTCCAGCGTCCCTGTAAGAGAGTAGACAGAGAAGTCATGCATCACCTTGCACTGTCCCCTTTCCTTCCCTGACTCGCTCCTCTTCATGCTTTCTCCAGCCTGGGATTTTATTTCTCAAATAAAGACAAACCTTAATCTTAATCCTCACCTCAGCCTTTGTTTTCCAGGAAATCTGGACTAAAACACTGACCAGTTTTAAAAAATGGTAACATGTTTATACTCTTTTCCTATCTTTCTGCTCAAAATTTACATGGTACTTTGGGGATCTGCCTGCCTATGCGACTCCATATGCAACTTTTTTTTTTTTTTTTTTTGAGATGGAGTCTTGCTCTGTTGCCCAGGCTGGAGTGCAGTGGTGAGATCTCGGCTCACTGAAAGCTCCACCTCCCGGGTTCACTCCATTCTCCTGCCTCAGCCTCCCGAGTAGCTGGGACTACAGGCGCCCACCACCATGCCCTGCTAATTTTTTGTATTTTTAGTAGAGACGGGGTTTCACTGTGTTAGCCAGGATGCTCTCAGTCTCCTGACCTCGTGATCCGCCCATCTCGGCCTCCCAAAGTGCTGGGATTACAGGCATCAGCCACCCGCACCCCGCCTATATGCAACTTTTAAAAATGCTTACAAACATGCATACATAGGAGATATAATTTCTCTTCTATAATTAAGGATAAGTGAGCTACACTGACCTGCTTGCTGGTTCTTGCACATTCCAGGTACATTCCTGCCTTTGTATTTGCTATGCCTTCTGCTTACACTGTTCTCCACCCAGACATCCACATTCCTGCACCTACCTCAGGTCTGTGCTCAGTCTTTCCCTGATCATTCTATTTAAAGTCATAGGCCCCTCCTTTCTTCTATCAATTACCTATCTCATCTCCTGCTTTAATTTTTTACAGCTTTATTGCCCTCTAACACATATTATACTTATTTATTTTGTTTATCTGTCTCTCCCAACTAGAATATAGGCAACACAATGAGGGCGGTAATTTTCTGTATATTTTCTTCACTGCTGTGATGAAGTTCCCTCCAGTGTCTAAAACAGTGTCACACATGAAAGTGCTCAATAAGTGCTTTTGGAATGAATGAATGGATCAATTAATCAATCAATCAATAATATGTATTAGAAAACAACTTTATTTTATTTTATTTTATTTATTTTTTTTTTGAGATGGAGGGCAGTGGTGCGATCTCGGCTCACTTTGTCACCAGGCTGGAGGGCAGTGGTGCGATCTCGGCTCACTACAACCTCCGCCTCCCAGGTTCAAGCAATTCTCCTGCCTCAGCATCCCGACTAGCTGGGACTATAGCTGCACACCACCACGCCTGGCTAATTTTTTTTTTTTTAGTAGAGACAGGGTTTCATCATGTTGGCCAAGATGGCCTCAATCTCTTGACCTCATGATCCACTCGCCTTGGCCTCCCAAAGTGCTGGGATTACAGGCGTGAGCCACCATGCCCGGCCTAGAGAGCAACTTTCTAATGTGTCAGCATTGACTCATTTAGTTCAATTTTGAAGAAAAGTAGAATAATATGTGTCATTAGAAGACCTAAATTGGGTTTGCATGGTGATTGAGTGCATAAATACAGTGAAAATGATAAGGTTCCTAGGGGGAAACCAGATCTTTATCATCAAGTAGGCACTGAGAATCTACTATGTACTTACCGCAACCGAGATACAAGAGATACAAGCAAATATAAAGATACGATAGTCCTCGTCACAAGACTTATCATTTTGCTTAAGAAAATTGCCATTATATGAACTAATTAGAGAAATTTGAAGTTCTCAATCCTCTGTGATTTGACTATAACTGTATTAGCGGTTCAGGGGCAAGAAAGGAAGGAGATGTTAGACCCCTTACTCTAGCTCTCCCACTCCTGCAACTTTTGACAATTGACTCAACCTCTTCCTAGTCCCAGTCCCCACCTATGAAGTTGGGATAATCTTCTAGGGATTATAGAAAGAATTAAATGATACAATGCAAGCAAATTGCCTAGCACCCTGGAATTGCTTAATAAATATTAATGGTTATAATATTTTACTATAATTTTAAGAAGCTACATATTTCATAGAGAAGGTGAGGCTTGAAGAATTAATAGGATTTGGGGCGAGAGAGTAGACATAGGCTAAATGAGGGAAAACCAATGTAGAAACACAAAGAAAGGGAGGCATATGATCTACTGAGGGAAGCGTGCCCACAGGTGATGGGATGGGAAAGAAAGCAGGGAGGGAGAGATATGTGGCCATAGGTAAGGGGGAACTTGGGCTTTACATACAGCTTTCATCACTGGGTTTTGAAGATTTTGGGAATGGAGGGAAGAAGAGAGAGAGAAGACAGGTAAAATAAAGGAAAGGAAGAAGAAAAGACAGGAAAAAAATTGAGAAGTAAAAGGAAGCCTGACCATTGGCCATATATAGCCTTCTCATGTATGATATTCTCTTAGAATTTATTTAAAGCATTAAGATGAGAGGACAGTTCAGAGCACTGGATTAATTCCCTTTTCTCTCTCCCCCTCTCTTTCTCTTGCCCTTTTATTAAGAAAATAAAAGAGACTTTGAAATATTAAGAGATAGTGGGATTAGAACCTTCTCCTGCCAGCCCCAGTCTTTCCTCCCCTATTAATTTCCACTTGATTAGAATTCTTTTTGAAGTATTTAAATATGGACAATGGGAAATAGAAGGGTGAGTTATTGAATATCAGTTAGACAGTATTAATATAATCATGGCTCCCATTTTTTTATATAGACACTTCATCTATATGTATAGTTTCCATTAGGAATAAAGTAGACACCTCCTCTCTCCTACCTCAAGTAATTATGATTTTTAAAAACCATAATGAAACTCTTAAAAGTTAATAGCCGATTTGTAAATCCTCAGCTTAAAATTTTAATTTAAAAAATAAGTTTTAGAACTCTGGAAAATTGAGAGGTTTTTTTCCTTACTTGTCTTTAAAAAAAAAAAAAAAAAAGACGTGAGAGACTTTTTTTACACTAAACTCTTGAATTGGTGAGGGCTTTTAGCACGTACACACTTTCGAAAGGAGCCATGGCTGTTTTGATGGAAGTGTGGAACTCTGAGAAACCCTCTTCACTTAGGGGCTGTGTGGAGAGGGAATGATATTGGTATTCCAAAGTTCTTCAAGAACACACAGCAAATGTCTCCATGGGAAAAGCAGCTGCTTATTCTCCCTTGAATAACCCAGGTCTCATGACTGTCTAGTCCTGACATTGCCCTTCATGCTGAAGGCTTGATCTAAAGACCTTTGAGAGACAAAATAGGGGATCTCAGAGCCTATTTGATGCATGGAGTTGGGGCTTGCTGAGAGGATCACTATGAAATTCCTGGGGTTTTCTAGCTCTGAGGACTATGAATTTTTAAAAATAAGTTATTTGATAAATAGCAATGTGTAAATCTTTTTTGAAAACCTAGAAATGTCATAGAATTTAGAAATCCTATCTTTTCACGTTAGCATTCAGTACTTGAGGCCACAAATGTTTAATTGACTTACAAGCAATATCTTTTTTTTAAACAAATACTTTCATACAAGCACAAATTGTGCTAATAAATTCTGTTAGTCATGTATATTTCCTCGGCACATACAAAAACTAAGTCCCACCACCAACATGGGAAAGGTTATAGACACAGGACTTATGTTGAACGAGTTCAGTCTCCTCAGGAATGAGGAATGTGAGAAAGAGTGAGAAAGTACAAACCAAGAGGTGCAAATGGGGAACCAGGGCATAAAAATAGAGATACAGAATGAGAAATTCAGCCCAAACTAATTAGGAAAATACCGGTCTGAATCAGTGAAAAGTTTCACTCACATTCATCCCTTAGCCTTTTAGAGGAGTAAATTCGAAGTCCCTCTTAAATCTCCCACCTTATAAATATTGCTGCATTGTAGAATTAGTCCTATAACTACACAGGTAACATGAATGAAAAACTCCAATGCCACAATGAAAGGCACTTTCAGCTCACATAAGTGGCCAGAATAATTGCCTCATTCCTGTGTCCCAATCTGCAGCTTCTGGTTCATATATGAGCCTCAGCAAAAAGATTTTACTGAAGCATTTTATGCATCATTGGGTCACTGTTAAATTACTAAACTCCTGAATGGTAAGCCTGTGCCTGCAAATGTCACAGGTGTGATCCCCAAATTATGGTTAAGAGAAGTCCATTTAGTTGTGTTGAGGTATTTAAGATTGGACCCTCTCATGCCTGACACGGCATCCAATGGAGTGGTGCTTCTGAGCCTGCGGTGATGAATGGATATACATCACCATTCCTTGAAGGCCAGGGCAGTGCTCAGCATCCCTCACACCCCCTGGGACATCAATCCAAAACACACTCTTTGCACTGTAATAGAAGAGCCAAAAATTTTTAAACATATTTTATGTATTTGATGTCCATGCTTTCAGAACAACAACAACAGAATAGTGAAATATAGTTAGACAGTAAGCAATAGTACTAGAGAATGCTTTAAATTGGAATCACCTGAACATTTTAGCCTTGCACTCACCGTCGGGATCGCACTTGGTCGAATCTATGCCAAGCTCATTTTACAAAGTGAGCAAAATGACCCTTCTGGACCCTCCCTCGACACACTGAACCAGTAGTCTGTGAAGGTACCAGGCAGGGCCAACTTCATGGTGTGTGACCCATGCTGTAGTAGTGGGGTCCTGGCCTTACCTAAAGTCATGGAGACAACCCTAGAGGGAGTACTAGAGGTAGACGGCTTCTTTCTGGAAGCCCATGGTCAGGTACAGATCTCTTAATCCTTCAAGACCCAGCTAAATCTCACCTTGTCCTCAATGATGGCCCTGACTGCCTAAGCCCTCACCATTTCCCTGGTACTGAGGATGCCACCAGCACCTGGCACCTATACCACATAGCCCTATTATACTCTTCTGTGTTATTAATCCATTATTGCTAATTTTGGCCCAAACTTAAGTTCTTAGAGTTCAGCACAGCCACTAGTTCTTGTACATCTGCTATATCTGAGCTGATATTCTTGTTAGTGTGATTCACACATAGAAATGGCTTCAAACAATGGGTAAAAGAAGCACATGACTGATGCTGCACTCTCACCCCAAAGCCCAGCCTCCAAAACATTCCACTGCACCTAATCCTCTGGTTCCACCT